TTACATGAACACCTGGTAAGAAAGGTGCAATCACGTTCTGTTGCCTAGCAAACGTCTGTACTGTAGCGTGGGGGGCTAGCCTACTGATGTACTATGTATAGCAGGGGACGATGAAGCATAATATGACTAGGCCTAAGTAGACAGTGCAATTTTATGTGATAGAAAGTACACTTTCTAAAGAAATAAATTAACTAGGCCTAAGAATAATTAAGTTGCAGACGTACCTTGTTTAAGTATTATATGCTAACTATGCGGCTCTTGTAGCCCTAGCTAGACAAGACACTCATGTGCAAAGCAGTGGTGTTTGTTTATCCATGAAAAAAGCACGCCGGGAAAGTTTGCTTTACCAGGAAAAGATGACGTAATCTAGCTTATGACGTATGCATGCTAACTATAGCGTGAGTGTGACGTCACCAAAAAATAAAAATTTTCTATTATAACCAAAATACAAGGTTTGTGGGCGTAAATTCCCTTAATACAAATTAAGGGTAGCACCATCTCCTTGCCATACAAATTATAGCTCCCATTGACGTCTCAGTCGAGAAATACGGGTAGCTGAATTTTTTCTCGAAAATCTGACTACGAAACCAAATCGAAATTCATGTTCCACTTCTGACTCTGAGTTGCTTCGCACACGCCGCTGAGGGCGGCATTCCGGGAACCATGCGTCAAGTTAGTCCTATACTACATGATACAATCACTATCACAGGGTTTGCACTGTGTTTTGGGGGGTTTGTGGGGTTTAGCAATCTTTTTATACAAAAAATGGCCTTTTTATCCCAAAAATAGGTTGTGACGAACATAAAATTAAGATTTTTTTTGTTGAGATACCAAGTTTAGTCCTATACTATGTGATTCAAGCATTATCACAGGGTTTGAATGGAGTTTTTTTTTTTTAAGCTTTGCGGGGTAAGCAGGGTTTGCGGGGTTTAGCAATACCAATTTTTTCTATGTGCCCTAAAAAGAGATTGATTTTCACTTAGGCATGCAATGCTAAAAACTGCCTTTTGATTGGTCAACCTACAATTAAGTGGACATTTTGTCTTTAGTGCTATCATTTTTTCGCTGTAAAATGATGGTTTTTATGGGTAAGCATTTTTTAAATACACTAATTTCTATGTTCAAGTTGATCATTTTTATGTTACTTCAAAATGGGCAAGTAAATTTTAAAAATGATTTTTATGTTTTTTGGCTTTTTGCAAGGGATAGTACATCTTTAAATGTACAATATACCAATGAATTTTATTACCAGATAATGTTTTTGAACCCTTCACTTCCCTGTGTCCAACATTTCTATTGCAATTTTAATCAGATGTGCTACAGTATACTACAGACTTGTTATTAATAAATAGTGTTGTAGTACTATCAGTGTCATTCATATCACTTAGATGTCCATTACCCATACTAGTAATTAATTTCTCCTTAATCACATAGCAAAATTTGCTACCAACGTTGGGGGCGCTAAATTTGGTATTTCTGATGCATAAATTTGGAACGGTTTGTAGATTTTAGTGTTCCAGGTCTGGAGAACATTTTTTGGGTTTTCAACCATGGAAGTAAATGTTTATATTTGTATATTTATCATATTATATTAGAGTATAAAAATGTGTGCCATGTTTATGCAGTCACACACTTTTTCTAGGCCTGCATCAGTTGATTCCCAACTTATAATATTTATACAAATCCATGTTTTACATAGCTTTGATTTTATAAATGATGCTTGAAGTTGATGTGATCAATGAACAATGCCATAAAAGTTTGACTTCCTTAAAAGTAATAAAGAATAATATATTCTTATTTAGTGTCTACTGTGCAGCAAGTAGTATCTTAATTGTAAGAGTATATCATGAGTATGATAATTTCTTCCCACTAAACACCAAGAGTGTAATTTAGTGAGATAATTTGGTCACCAAGCCTAATTGATAGGCCTGCGAGGCTTAATCTACATACTGTAGCCCTAGTAAATAAGCACATCTATTTTTCATGACTTAGGCCAGTTACCAGGGCGGTAATATGTATTGTAATGTATCTGTAAAATCAGGCAGATATTATTAAGGTGTTGAACATACCCTGCTTTAATATGTTTTTAATAAATCTATCACTTATCAAACGAATTTAACAATTCTGAATCTTCAACATAAGAATATTCTCTATTCTTCTAAAGTATCGATAACATCTTGCTCATCATTGATTGGTACTTTGGATGAAAATGCATTCAATGATAAAAATAAGAAACTGAATAATAATAATATACAGTAGCATTATTATATACTGCATACTATTGCATATTAAATTCAATGTATTTTAACAAATCATACAATATTAGTATACAACAGGCCCAAGGGAGAGTAGCGAACATACAGTAGGATTTGTCTACACTAATGGAATATATCGTGAATAAATTATTAAACACAGCCAAAAATCTGCAGAATATTTTATTTCTTCCATGTATTTTGCACAAAGTAAACCAATCAATATAATTTTATTAAAAAATTATTTTTCAAAATTGCAATCAAAGAATCAATTATAAGGTAATTTTTGTTTCTCTCTTAGACAATGCTCAACAAGAGCCATTCATCCAGCAAAGGTTACTGATGTTCTATATCAAAGTGTCTATGACACAAGTAGTATATATTTTGGTTGCGAGAAAATTAATGAAATTTTTCACCAGTCCTAGAAATCGCATGATCATACTGTAGATCCACAGTCCACAAACTACGGGCCACAGCCAAATTAGCTCAGTCGGTAGTAGCCACTGTGCATACACTGAACCGTGGAGATCGCTAGGTCCTTGGTTCAATTCCCATCGCTGCCTCTCCTTGTGTTTCAGTTGGAGGGCTGAAATACAAGTTACAATAGCACACCGTCTTTCGGATGAGATATCTAAGCCTGTTGGTCTTGGCCCATGTACACGTTTAAAGAACAGAGTAGGGGATTGTCTCCGGATGTACTGCCCAATCACCACCAGAAGGCAACCCCACTGCAAATAAGTCTTCTTCTAGACTTTTGTGGGCTATCCCCGGTATTTACACCGAATTACATTAAAAATGTAAAATTTCTTTATTTTGCAACCTATTGCAATTAGTTGTTCATTCACTCTTTTTATTACAACAATCCCATAACCTCTGACATCCTTGAAACTAACATAAACTGTAAGAAATAAAGTTTAAGGAGCCTGCCTGTTTTTGTTTTTTTCCCCCAAATCAATGTGTGAAAAATTCTTTTGTGGGCACATTATACAAATTGCCATTATTATTATAATTATTATTTTTTTTTTTTCATTTTTTTAAAATAAATATTACTACTACTATAAAGTGCATATAGTACCTCTACTATGTACATGAATATAACAAAATTTAGCTTTACATGACCTTGAACCTTTCACCCCAAAATTGAATCAACTCTTCCTTAGGCCAATTATTGGTACCACTCTTCTAAATTTTATGATGCCAACAGACAAACTATACATGAACCACTTTGAGGACATATTTATTTAATCAATAATGTTTCTTTTTTTACACCATGTGAGCTATAGTACTGAATATGTTTATTAACTTTGGAATAATCATAAGAAATAAAGTTTATTTAAGGTAGCTGCCTATGTTGGGTTTGCATCAGTAAAAACCAATTTGCAAATCTGTAAAACATTCATATTTTGTGATATTATGAAAATTATGAAACTTAATCTATTATAATTATTATTACTCTTAAAGCCGGGAATTCACTGCGTAAACGACTGTTGTACAAATCCTACACCGCTCAATGTCAGCAGTAGACGACGCAGGTCCTCTGCTAATTGTCGGTTGCATGCGCGTTGTGGCATTGAGTTCTCCATAGAATTGCGCCGGCCAATGACTGTTGGGCATAGCAAGTGGCCGGCAAATCAAAACCAAGGTATATGAGTTGTGTGTAACATTGACATGTTGTTGTTGTGTACAAAATAATTAGGACAAGATAATGAGTTGAATGTTCCAAAGTTGACAAATTTACTGCCTCTTACAATCCTTATACATGGCCCTGACTCTATAGTAAGGCCTGCGCGGGGAATATATCCTTCGTGCAAAAATTTGGCCTAGAAATCCGTCTGCGCAATTTTCAGAAAATAAGGATTTCCGTGCAGATTTTGCCAAAAATTAGGGTTTGACCTAATATAAACGATGTATTATGCAGTAATTACCATTCCACGCACCTATTTTCCACTAAAATTTTAGCTGGTTTTTGAGGTATCATCCGCGCACATGGCAATATTTGAGCAGCACAGCGAGTGAAGTGCTAGTTTTCCCTCAGCCAATAATGACAATGCTAAAATGGTAAGCTCTGTCCAGGGTCGGTCATCTTTAATTTTCAATTTCAAAACATCGCTTATAATAAACTTAATAACTGTGTAGGCCTAGGATAAACATATAGGCCCTATAAAGCCTAGGCTAGGTTGGTATTATTAATAGTTAATAATTCATAGCTAGGTCAAAATATAAATCAACTGGCACACAATATACAATCAAATAAAGAAACATAAGACAAGAGGTAGGCCGAGGTTTGCCATCCACCTCTTGAGCCTGTCACGGCACTCACTAGGCAGGCCTAACTCCGGCGTAGTGCCGCGCGTGTCTCAGCAGTGTCAGCTACCTGCCAAAACCACTTTTTTTCGGTCGGAATTGTTTTCATATTGCACTATGCAATACACAGACACTCTATTCACACTACACAAATGTGGTTCTGACTGTTTATCACTAGATCATTTTTTGCAAAAAAAAAACAACTGTTAAACAAACATGAAATGCCAGAAGTGAGACGACAAGGAACATACCAAGCGATATGCCTAGTCTCGATCAGACATGCTATATAGGTATCTATCTACACACAGTAAACAATCCTTTATCAACACCAACATTCACTGAGGAACAGCTGCCAATTCCATGGCCTATCGCTTCGGCATTGGTATATATACACTAGAAATGTTCATATAAGATTCGTACAAATGTCACTTAAACAATACTTACCTACAAAATACATCCTTTGGTGTAATTTGATTGCATTTCGTACGTTTAAAATTCAGTTCAGACAATGCAGCTGGTCCGCCATTTTGAGTTATGGAGAAATGCTAAGCAAGGTCACTTAGAGGTCACGTGAGGTGTAATATCATCCTTGATTGGTCAATTACAGGAAGGTTAATTATCGTTGACACCAGTAAATAAGTAAACAAATTTGGTAAATAATAGCGGCTTCTTTTGAAGTCTGTGTGTTTGAATGTAACGCCGCTTTTCAACTTTTGCAAAAATGAAATTACAAGTGATTATGGGGTTGAGTGCACCGCCAAGCAAGAAAACTATCGAAATCACAGTCACGGATCGAGCGATAGGCCTATATATATACCGAAACGTGGATTCCGAAGTAGCCTACTTGGTGTGCAAGCTTTGCCCCTTAGGCCATTGGAATTCAAAATCGTTTGGGCGATGTGTGTCTGAAAGTAATGCGACCGATTATATGTAGAGCAAATAGGGGAAGTAAAGGCGAGTCTTCTTTGGAATTTCTATTCCCCAGTCTGTATCAGACAGGCGTCATCATTGGCTAAGCAGAAACCCGCGTGATAGTCCCTTCTCTCATGTCCATGACTACTGTATTGTTTTTTGGGGTTTTTTTTACATGATTAAAAATTCACACGTTACAATCCCGCTAAATGGAGATTTACTTGCAATTGATTGATCATAACCGTTGTATTACTTTATATTTACTGTATTCAATTACTGATTCTTATTAATTTTTGGCCTGCTATAATTGTATCATAGAATTACTGTACAGTATGCGAGGGGATCCCCCGTCGGACAGGTCTGGACCCCCTGACGTCCGACGCACGACTAGGTCGTCAGATCAAGCATTTAAAAAAAAAATAATAATTTGCATAGCCTAACCAAATAACGTAATTTTGATTGTCAATCCAAAATATTGTGGTCTAGCACATTTTGGACCATACTAAGCCATAAAAACTCTCCCGTTGTACCCTAAAAATGATTTTTTTTTTTATCCCAGGCCGTCGACAGAGGCTCTATTCGGCCCCTTGGTTCGACCCTATGTTGGACCCCTTGTCGACAAATATTTGGCGCCACCCTCTTACATGAAAGTATTACCCGTCTTATTTTCAAACTTAATATTTTGGGAAGGTTTATATAGGTGTGTACCGTATTATAATTTTTTGTGGCTACAGATATATTGTTTAGTGTAAGTATGTTTAGTTCAATACCTATTCATTGATGAAGGTACCCACTTTTGTAAATCTGTTGATGTGTTTTTTTTTCAAATATATGTCCAAATAAATGGAAATGTTTTAGTAATTGTTTTTACCAATATTTATTTGGGTATACTTTTCCCCTTCTTGGTGATTTTTCTTTGTCTTGCGATAAAATTTTAGTTTTATAATTTCCAGTATGTTTTCTCTTTTTGTAGTTTTCACTGTGTTTTAATGTAATTTCACTTTTTCATAATATTTGTAAATAATAATAATCATTTTATAACATTTTGTAAATTAACTCGCAATTGAGTAATCTTTTAGTTTTACTGTAATGAGTTTTATTGATATTAACTGAGAGAATGAATGAATGAATACCGTAGTCGATCATTTCAATGAAGTCTTTTGTCACGTAGGACTGTGTTATCTTTATGTACTGATTAGCCAAAACAAATATTATTATGAATTTAAATTTAGAGCATATTTTATTGTAGCCTATTAATAATAATATTTACTTACCGGTACTTACTTACTTACCGGTACTTACTTACTTACTTACTTACTTACTTACTTACTTACTTACTTACTTACTTACTTACTTACTTACTTACTTACTTACTTACTTACTTACTTACTTACTTACTTACTTACTTACTTACTTACTTACTTACTTACTTACTTACTTACTTACTTACTTACTTACTTACTTACTTACTTACTTACTTACTTACTTACTTACTTACTTACTTACTTACTTACTTACTTACTTACTTACTTACTTACTTACTGTTATTTCAACAATATTGATGTGACGGTTGTCCATCCAGCCAGAGCTGATTAATTTGGACCCTCAGTACATACAATAAACGACAAAAGAATAAACGATGAAAATTAAACTCGATCTTTAACTCAAAATAATTTTAAATCAAAACAGAAAAAAAGTAAAATTATAAAATGTTTATAAAATAATGATTTCAGAATAACATTAAAATTTAAAATTAACACATTAAAGAATCAGAAAAATAATTGAAATTATAAATTAATTTAGAGAATTAAATGGCATATTAGACCTAATAAATATAAAATAATAATTAAAACTAAGTAATAATAGGCCTATATAGAAATATGCATTTTATATAATATACCGTAATAATATTAAATATAACTTAATAATAATATTTATCATCACTATCATTGTCATTATCACTATCTCTATTGTCACTAACGGAATCTTTATCGATATCATTATTATTATTATCAATTATATTCATTTAGTAATTGTTTTTATTTTTCTTTAATTTTCCTTACGAAGTGTAGTGTGGGGTCGTATAGGTCATCATGATTATTATTGGGTGGCAACACATACGTCCAGTATAACATGTCTGATCATCGATTACATGGTCTGTAACTACATTACCAGCTCACATAATCCCTTGTATACTTTCTAGTAGTACGGTAACTTTGGCCTATAAATGCACGTCCTCTTTCGGGAACGGAACGTTTCGCGTGGTGCCATGAACGTGGTCAACTACTACTACTAACCAAATTGCTTATTAATGCACTAATTGGTTTTATAACGTTTTCCTCTCTTCACATCCTTATAACGAAACGTTCACTTTAATACTCGAAGACCATGTGAAGCGTATACCATTATAATAAACCACACGCATTTATTGAATTGAAAGATATATGTTTGGGTTTAAACGACTTAATTTTTTACACATACAAAAATACATGAATAACATTCTAGAAACAATTGCAAGCTGTTCATTTACAGAATTTTTATGTCGCAATTTTTGACTTTAATAATTCAAAACAAACAAAATAAAATCTGAACTAATTAGTCTTCAATGTAATAACTTGATTCTGTTGACTCTAAATTTAAATAAGCATGAACAAGTAGGCCTATCGTCACGGTACTTTACCATTAGCGAGTTTCAAATGTAAGTTAATTCTTTTCCAAGAATTCCACAAGAAATGTTTCTCTTTTTATACTTTCACTTCATATAAATTAGGGAACAACATTAATTATCATCATTTTCAAAATGAAAAAATAAACTTTTAATTTCTGCGTGTTGTACTCTATGCCTACGTATTCATTATAAACATAGGCCTAAGTAAAATGTTAAAACAATTCGCATATGCCTATTCCTCACTATATAAAATGACTTATACTAACGGAAGGTACATAAAAGGTATATTCCATTAGTAATGACCTAAAAGGGACTGTGTGAGTTACAGTATTCGTTTTTCACGTTACACTTGTACTGCACAGGAATAAGTTAATCAAGGGCAAATTTTAGATCAAAATAAAGGCGCAGGAAAGGGAAGACGACTCGGGAAGTTAGCTGATGTCATCATATCAGAGTTGAATTATGTCAACAACCCCGCACAAACTTCAGAGTTTAAAGTTGTAGATGAAGTTCTGCAGTGAAGCCTGATTTCTTGCATGACTCTTGCCATCCATGATGATCTTAAAACGATTTTTGGCGACGTCGACGATGGAACTGAGAGCATGTTATATATTAAAGTATGTGTTGCATACAGCTACTTTTGGAATGTTCGTATGGACGATAGTTATGGACCGTTCCGCTAATCTGCACCCCTTGGATATCGTTGCTAACACCCAACAAGTGTGTTTGTGGGACATGTGCGTGTCCCCGGTCTTGTTCTGATTGGTCAGTTGTTAAGTTTGATTGACACTTCGGAAAGGTCCATTCTGAGCCTAACGAAGAATGAAACGACAGTTTTATAAGATAGAAAACCAATGTTAACAATGAATAAATAGATACCGGTAACTGTATCTTTTTTAGGCAAAATAAAAAAAGCAGGATTGGCTCTTCAAGTGACACAATATCGGTGCAATTGTTTGTTTGTTTGTTTGTATTGTTTGTTGAATTGTTTTCTTGTTCTTAACCAATATTTCGTTATTAAATGTTTGTTTTTCACACATGTGTGCATGAACCCATTATTGTAGTGGCATAGGCTTACTAATCTCTTTCACTAAACATGAAACCCCTCAAAGACGGCCTGATGGCATATATCAGACATAGGCCTACATCGATATGTTTGTGTTTAGTTAGTTTTCAAACTTAGTTTCCGTTATGATATTTGTTTTTTATGTGATGCTCACCCACCTTTGGTTGTCATGCTTTCAAATACAGAAGTAAAATTATTGCATGCTGATATTTCATACTAATTAATTGTTGTAAGACTACTACAAGTGAATGCTTCGATACAGACGGATGAGAACCGAACGTTACAAAAGCGACGAAGATTGCAGAATGACGCACGTGAGTTTTTTTTAAAGAATAATTCCAAAGGGTAAGTGTTAAGCCTACAAAACCCGTATGGACTAATAACAAAGACACTTATGCAGGTAACATGACCAATGGGCCTAACGGGGATTAATTAGGTCTAGGTCTCGGGCGACCCAACAGTGCACACACCAACGTATCCACCTTCCCCCGCACACCACACAAAATATACGATTTTACCTTGACCATATCTTACCACCCACCTTCAACACATATAGAAAACGAATACCATGAAGGCCTATAGACTTTAGAAACACATTATTGGAGAAAACCAATAGTTCGACCTATCCTTAGATCTTTATCAGGGTGCCTAACTCATGCGTACTTTCATAT